AGCTGCGCCTGAGCGCCCAAAGCATACCAAGGCTGTTTTGGTAAAGCTCATTCGTGTTGTCCATGGACTTTACGTCGTAGCGTGAGAGTACACTGAGGGCTCGCAAGAAAGGCGCGAGATGCAACGGTTGACCGGCCACCGTGTAGGTTCGACTGTGCTCAGACTTACCCAGTCACAGCGACTTGACTGGGTTGATGGGAAGGTTGACCTCTGAAGACCACGTGGAGAGGCGTTCGAGGTACTGCTGAAGCAGGTCACAGTCATTGGGTGTGCGCATAACTCTCCATACCTTCAAGTTACGTGTGAACGCACAAAGTGAATGGAGTAGCTGAGGCACATCGTTTACATGGATTAGAAACAAACTCGGTCCCAGTACAGTGCCTTGGGGCACGCCACTGCTCGATGGATACCAGTCGGTCAAATGGTTGTCGACCTGGACCCTCCAGTTTCGAGCAACAAGGAAATTCTTGATCCATCGGTGCAGCGAGCCACCAACACCGCACACACAGCCTGTCGAGGAGCACTGTATGATTCATCTTGCAAAAATCCTTACTGAAATCAATGTAAATGATGTCTACCGACTTGCCTTGGTTCAGCGCTTGCAATCATTCGTGCCTCGTCAACGATAGGTTGGTGCTGCACGAGCGACCTTTAACGAAACCATGCTGTGCGGGCGTCAAGAGGTTTTTAAACTCGAGAAGCTGCAGAAGACTCTTCTTCACGATCTTCTTAAGCGTTTTTGCCAAAACAGGGTCAGACAGATCGGTCAGTAGTTATCCACTTTGTTTTGGTTACCACCCGTTGGTATTGGCTTTACGAATGAGCATTTCCAGTCCCCCGGTAATAGACCAGTGGATAGTGACCTGTTGAACAGCTCAGCTACAGAAGGCGAGATGATGGCCCATAGGGACTTGAGGATCAGTGGGTGGTGTCCATATGGTCCGGCAGATTTCGTCCCGTCAAGACTTGACAGAAGTTTGCGTACATCTGCAATACTGCAATCCAGGCAGTCTAGTACGGCGGGACCGGTATTCGTCGAAGTCGATGCAGACACCTGGTAACTTGGAAATACGGAAGCGAAGTGCGTCGCCAATGCGGACGCATGATCTGTGCTCGAGGTTAGGGGCTGTTCATATGAGCCTTCCAACACTGGCACATTGCCTGCAGGCCTCAGGCGCCGCTTCACGTAGGCGAAGATCCTCTTGGGAGCAGTTGTTGCGGTGGTTGCAAGCTGCTCTTCGAAGCTTCTGTGCTTTTTGTTTTCGCGCCGTTGCAGAGATTTCGCTGTACATTGTACGCCTTGTAATCCTCGTCAGAGCCAGATAACACGAATTTGTTCCATAGTCTGCGTCGTCGTCGGGCCAGTTTGCTGTACTCCTCGTCGCACTAATGTGGTTTGACTGGCCCAACCCCTCCGAAATTTGAGGGGTACAAATCGGGCGCACAACGATTTCACTCCCTCTTTAATGATAGTCCAACAGGTTTCAATAGACGAGTCCTGAGATAAAGACCAGTCCATCTGGTTCGCTGCTCGAGTGAGGTAATCAAAGTCCGCCTTCCAATAGTTGAAGGCCGGCGCCAGCGGAGGAGAATACGGCAGCGGCAGTTACAAGTTACCTATGATCATCGACTGGTCACTCGCTCCCAGGCTCAAATGTCATGCACACGTTGCTCACAGCCGGTCAAAAGCAGATCTAAGCACGATGGAGTTGTGTGCGCAGTTATGCGCGACGGTTGGTTGATGTGCTGTGTGGCCCCAGTTTCAAATAACTCCGAAAACTTCCTCTCGACTTCACAATGGCCGGGGAGAAGTTCAGCCTCAGGCGTAAGTTGAAATCACCCATGAGTAGGAACAGCGGACGATTCATGTGGTTGCGGACATGCTGCAACCAGTGTAAGCAGCAGCTCAGTGGACTGCGATATACAGCGACCACGAACATCTCGCAGCGTCTGAGGTGAATCGAACACCATAACTGTTCACATAAATCAACAGTGCTTCGGTAGGTGCCCACTAGTCTCACACACAAGAAAGACCTCATATAAAGCAGAATGCCACCGCGAACATTTGATGGTCTATCACGGCGGAAGCACGAGTAGCCACTGGTTTCCACTTCTTGGGCGGTTACGTCGGAGTTTAACTGTCTCAGCAAGGCCTAATACGCCTGGTCACTGAGAAGTTACAAAGTAACACAGCTCATCGCGTTTGTTCATCAGACTGCAGACGTTAGTAAAGGCTACGCGCACGTAGCGGTAGGAACCGCTGGGCACGCCTGAAACATCAGAAACCTGTTGATCCGGATTCGTAGAGCAATCCGGGTGAAAACCCGAAAAGTTACAGTACGGGGATTTGTTTCTCCAACGTCCGTGCGTCGCTTTAGTTCAAGCATTGCAGAGTTGAGTTTCTGTCTGCTGGGTCTAAGTAAGTGCGCACATGCATCTTTAGACCTTTCAGCTTATTAAGGAGGGACAATAACAACTTAGGACTTGCCTTGATGATGAAAAACATGTCTCGTGTTGCCCGTTTCCCGACGATAATAATAATAATAATAATAATAATAGTAATAATAATAATGTGTCAGCTATACGCCGTAACGGCGCTTCGCTTCCGTGCGACCACAACCAGTCCCACGCGGGATGCGTGTACCGCGAGGACACCCACCCCTACCTGGATTCGAACCCGTGCCGCAAGATTACGAGACGAGCTCGTTAGCTCTAGGCTAAGGGCCGATCAGACGATTACCATGTAATTTTTTTGAGGTTTTCATCCGATATGGCAGTTTCCATGTCCGAAACAGGATGAGACGACCAGGATTCATGGTCCCTTTGCAAGCTAGCATACAACTTTGTGCTAAGAGCTTTGTGAGTCTCGTCGTTTTCTCTTTCAGCCGGAGTGTGTCGGCTACTATTGCTGAGGTTAGCAAATGGATTCGTCATACGACACTACAAATGTAACCAGTGCTCCTAAACACTGTGTTCAGATGCCATCGTATTTTGATAATCGTTAAGAATAGCTGGCTTCTTCATTTAGCAACTGTCTAATGCCCATAATCTTGTCGCGGGCGTCCATCGAAACGCAAGTAAAGGGCAGCACACACACAAATGCATGATCGGAGTTCACACCTGTGCTCCAAAGGTAACTGACCACGGTGGGATCGACCTGCACCCATGGAATGTCCAAGGCTGGTGGGCACCAAATAACCCTGCGGTGGATGATGTGTCGGAAATTAGCGTTCGTGAGAAACAGAACAGCATCTTCACGTTAGCATTACCGGAGCCTTTGTTGTGTTGGTTACTCAGATGCAGTTCAACAGTAAACATATTTACAAGTTGAGCGTTCAGATCACCAAAGAGCACCACAATATGTGCACTTCTGTATGAAAGAAGCATCTTAAGTTGATGATAGAAGTCATCTTTCACGGAGTCAGTAGATCATTCTGTAGATGCGCAGGAAACGAAGTTAAACAAACACCTATGGTCCCCGCATGATTTCGAAGCTTTGAATAAGCCAGGTAATCTGACGGTGCACATCCAACCACTGATTGGAATTTAGTGACCAGAGCGGCTTCAGCCCGAGGAATCAATAAAACCTACGCCGGCCTGACCAAGATTTGAGAAAGTGCCGTCGGTATAACATGAAAGGGATCGTAGAGTGAGCACAGAACTTCAGTCTTTATAGTGGCCTTCCGATAAGCATCAGACACCAACTGATGGGGTCTCTTATGTTCTGGCAAGTGATAGCTGTTAACCGCTTTTTCGACAAGTATCTATGTTGCATGCCATCAACGAAAAGTGAGAGCTCCAAATGGAAGTGAATGGACTGGGGTGTCCGAATGGTTGGACACAGACTTTTTGACGAAGTATGAGTGATGATTTGCGCCTATCGAGGCAAGAGGAAGGATGGCCGAGAACTAGAACTTTGAAAGCGGGGGAAAAATCACACTGGAACAGAATTATAAAAATGACGAAGCATAAGAAGGAATAAGACCAGAAGGCCTGGGCAGCAGCACCTACACTCCTATCAACCGCGCCTGATGCAGCGGACAGAGCGTTGCGGCATCCAGAACACCACATGTGTGGTCCTACATTCTCACCTGATGCCAACCTTGTGATTGGAAAAAGCATAAATGATGCTGACATCACAGTCTCTGCTGGAATTGAAATTCTCCCACGGAACTAACCGATAAACCTGGAGTACGTGCAAGATATAGACATCCTATGTGCAAGAGCTTCTGGATAGGTTGATGAAAAGCTCCGCCCGCTTGGTCACGTGCTCCCCCTCTCCAAACCACAGGTTTCTGTTGTAGTACTGAGACACGCAGCCTGCTCCAGCTATCCCCAACAGCCAAGGATAGCACTTGGTTGGTTCAACTAAGTTTGTATTGCGTCACCTATGGTAGTCACAGAACCGAGGTTACCACATTTACCAACAAAGCGTATGTGGATTGTATAGTCAAAATCATTTAAGCATATGGTGGGAAATCAGTCTAGCAGTCAAAAGAGTGGCAGTCTTTAGCGGTGCATCATGAATATTACTCATGTCTGGTGTGCAATGGTGAAATCCACTAGTTGGTGTTTGGAAAAATCCCTCTAGTGTTGCACTGGAGCGTCTATGAAATTGGAACCGCTTAGCTCTCAAGTTCTTAGTGTGCAGTCGCTGTAGCTAACTAGGTGGAATGGCGAGCCGATCAGTCGATACCATGGTAGAAAGGTGTGAAAAGGACCTAGGGGTTTGACCAGGCTTATACATGCCGTCAGCAAAGACAGGGACCTCAGGATGGGCCAACCAAATCATTAGACATCCTATCTGAGACGGTGCAGCTCTGGGCTAAATAGTGCACCTACATTCGGTTTCTTTCATCCATCCCGATTACTTTTGCACTTTTTTCTTAACCACTCTCCCCTGGTATTCCGCTTGCGTTCCACTTAATTTCCTCAGAATTGCTAGCTACTGTTTTCCTAAATTGTACGACGTCACGTGTTTAAATGGGATGAATACTTACCAAGCACGTTCCAGTAACAAGTCGGCTAACTCGTGCAACTGTGGTCGCAACTCCTCGCAAAACTGCACCAGCGGGCGATAAGGATGGAAAACGATTAACGAGCAGTCCTGTAAGATAAGAGGAAAAATAAAATCGCTAGGAGTGGGAACAAGTTCAACAGCCAAGATTTATTGTATATAACCAGCTCAGAAAAACGGACCAGATTACTGGAGTGAAGAGAAGGTGAAATTTCAAGTTGGCTAGGACAACCGAATGAAATCAAAGTTAAAGCTCCTGATAAGAGAGTGATGGTCACATAATGTATGTAGCACAGTTCAATAACGCCAAACTGCTGTAAGTACCATCACTGATTTCGGGGAATTAGAGCACGAAGATGTGAAAACCCGATTGTCACCAACGAACGATGCATTTTTGGAGCGCTATTGATATATGACTGTAAACTGAAGCAAAATTCCCCCAACTAATGAACAACCAATTTGCGAGAACAGTTCGGAATGAAGACTATACGTAATGATGAGACTCGATTCACTGGACAGTGTCACGTTGCTGAGAAATATGGATATTATGGTTACTACTAGCGTTATTATTATTGCGTTTTTAAAACATCAACGTTAACACTCAAGGGCCATGGGAATAAAAGGAACAACAGACGAATTTTGAAAGCGAAAAAAATATGCAGAAACTAAAGTACTTTGTGGAACATTCATTTAATATAACAGCACCTAGGTGAAGAGCATAAGTAATGATTGTGCGCTCTGCTGGAACCATCCGGATTTCTCTAGGTTGGGCAGGCCAAATAGATCAGCGAACGGTATTGCAGGTTAGTGCAAAACATTCATCCTGCAAACATATCAAACCACCAGACGTACTATGAAGATAAGATTAGTGGCATCCGTTACTGAATTTGCCGGTCACTGTGGTCATGAACGCCTACAGGAAGTCTGAGCGTACAGAATGACCATGAGTAACTTGCGCTGTCTCATCCCCATGCTGAGGTTGAGGTTGGATTCATGATGCTTCTTGACCGCTAAACCAACTTACACTTAAACAAGGTCTTTCTAATCTGGATAAAGTTCATTCCAATTTATTTGGTTTGTCCAATTTTATAACTCCACTACATACTCGGTGTCAATATTGCGTATTTGCTTTCTATTAAATTCTGTTAATTGTTTGATACCACCGGTGTGACTGCGCGTCATGTGAATGTTCACAAGGTGCCTACCTACCTGACACGCTCCACCTCAATCAATGGCTCTAGGAGACTGTGAATCGTTGTTGGGGGACGAGGTGCACGGTCCCTGTGGCCGTGCTAAGCTCGAAGAGTGGATCCATACAGTGTGGAACGGACTACGGTCCAGCTAACGCCTTGTGTGTGCTTGATTCCCCGAATACAGCATGCTTGTGTGTGCCTGTGGAGGAGGGTGGGCCGGCTCCTTTGACGAAACGTGGATCCCATCCCCATGTCTTCAGGTGTTATTGCTTCGGGTTTACACTTGATATGGGGTGTGTGGTTGAAACCGTGGTTGGTATAGCGCAAGCTACGTACGGTCGCGCACTAGGCGCAGGTGTTCTGTGGCTGTCCTAAGGAGGCCACGGTGACAGGCAAACCCGGAAGCGGATGCCGCCAACCATGTATGCGCAGCGTTGGTAGGTACGTTATATTCGGTTTACTAACGTCACGCTTGCATTCTGGGTTTCTTTACTTCAGGTGGTTGGTCTGCTATATTTTGGTAATGCTTACTTTGTTAAGTCACTTAGATGTCTGTATGAATAATCTCTTTTTACTTACATACGTCGCTTAAGCAGATTGTGATTATATTGGTTAAATTTTTTCTAGTTAGTAGCATTGTTAAAAGATCATTTACTGACGTCTAAAAATTATCGCGGAGTTGTTGATAACCTATTCATTTCATATGCTCATTTAGCGAAGAGTTAAGTCGATGTAGCCGTGTGCTTCATTCGATAACTATTAGCTGATATTGTCATTCCAAGTGATTGGGTGTTGTTTGACATCCCCGGTGTAGCTGCGCTTGAGGTGCATGTTAACAAGGTGCCTACCTACCTAACACGCTCCACCTCATTCAATGGCTCCAGTAGACTATGAATCGTTGCTAGGATAAAGGAGTGCACGGTCCCTATGGCCGCGCTAGAGTGTCCATCCAGTGTGGAGCGGACTACGGTCCAACCACTGCCTTGTGTGCGCTTGATTCCCCAAATACAGCGTGCGTGCGTTCGCCTGTGGAGGAGGGTGGACCGGCTCCGTTAAAAAACGGCTTCCAGCCGCATTCTTCCAAAGCTAATTCTTCGGGTTTACACTGGATATGGGGTGTGTGGGTGAAACCGTGGGTGGTGCAGTGCAAACCACCCATAGTCGCCCTCTAGGCGCAGGCGTCTTGCGGCTGTCCTATGGAGGCTACAGTGACAAACGAATCCGGAACCGGATGCCTCCAAGCATATATGTCTTAATTCGTTGCACATGCCCTGTAGGCGCTATACTGGAGTGAAGTAAATGACAAAACTGACAGTCTCAAATTGGTGACCTATGGACTGCAAACTGACATCTGAACTACTCTGCGACCGTTCGGACCATATGTTAAAGGTGCGAGTGTTGGTAATCTATTCGTGGCGTAAGGTTGATAAAAAGACAGGGTAGTGAAAACTGCAAGAAAGCCGTCCAGGCGATGCTATCATATCCACGACTACTAAGTTTCTTTGGAATCCTGAGAGGACAGGGAATACGATTTCTCTCAAACTGAAGCACGTGTTCCAGTATGGAAGAAAATAGGGAACATATCCGAACCGAGACCATGTGAGACAACCACGTTAGCCCACCTTTGGAATTTGGAATACATGTGCGTTCTGATAGTGACACGCCATCGCACCCTGGACTGAGTTAATTTACAACAGACGGGTTATTCTGGTCACTGGGACCGCATCCGAAGTAGGGTATAAATAGGTCATGGAGTACTACAGTAAAATCAAGGAACAGAGAATATGTAGTCACAGTGGCGAAGGTGTAACGTTGAAGTGGGAAATTTTTGCTGTACTTGTTAACATCGCTTACACGGGTGCATCAGGAAAGATGAAGCGAGATGCCAATTGTAAAGTAAACTGCAGTGAAAAGGCCTGAAACTCCAACTCATAATAAGTTGGGGTCCACGTGAAAAGGACGAGAAAGGCAATAAACAAATATGGGAAGGAACAAGGTAGCTCGAGCTAACAGACAATAAAGGAAAACGGAACACAAAACTTACCATTGCCTCTAATAGGATAAATTCACATTCAAGGATGTCTTGAGCACGGTATGGGTAACCAAAACCGTCAGGAAAGTAAGCGGAATAGTGAGCGTGTACTAATCACATAAAACTCTAAAAAACCGCAATATGGATACGCACCTACATTTCTGCAAGATGCGAGGAGATTCTTCTGGGAAAGTACGCCAAACTCCTAAAAGGCAAATAAGGCTCAAGTTCAGTGCACATAGAGCTCACCTCAACTTTAGACGCCAGAAACAAACAAGAGACGGCCATCAGCCATGGATCAATTGTTTTGAGCGAGTTACTTTGAAATATGATTAGAAAAGGCATTACCGACTGTAAAATCGTTTAAAGTATACAGTCGCTGTCGCAATAACTTGTTGTCGAACTTCAATGCTTTTGCCAAACATCTGGATAACTAGCAGGGGTACCTCACATGAATGAAAATACCTTCAGCGAAAAATATCATCACTTTCTGGTAATCTTCCTCGCTGCCCAAAAGTTTTAGGTCACCAACCCTATGTATCATCACGTCTTGCCGGTCCAACAGCCATTCCAAACTGAAAATATGCAAAAACAAAAAAGTGATTTCATCAGGATCACAAAGAAAAAAACGTTAGGTATAAAGCATGTGATGGGGAATAAAAAGGTCATCCAAGTAGCCCACGAGACTACATGACAGCACAGCGACGGTGTGACTTGCTGATGCGGATGCCTTGTGCGTGTACTTCTGGTGGAGGTAATTTGAATGTTACGAGCTATCGTGCCCGTATCACAGAGGTATTAGACTGCAGCACGGAGAAAATGGATGATTCTTGGATTAGGTTTATTGTGAAATAGCACAGTGTCCCATCGGCAAGTGTTTTGCCGACCGACCACTCGCAACCACAATTAACGACCGCTTAAACATGCATATTTCATGAGTCTTAGGCTATTTTCACATATAGCCAGTGTTATCTTAAAGCCTAGAGCACTATCGCATTCGAGCCATCATAGTAAATAGTTACACTACCTAATGTTTGTATCCCTGTTATGAGTTCTTAGCTTTCGATTGCCTGGAATCACCTGATATTATTTCACTAATATCTAGGTGATGCGAATTTTAACTGTCAAATATTTGGAAGTTCGAGCATTGACCTAAAGTTAAGTGAAATGAGGCAAGTCGATGTAGAGCCGCTGTTCTAGATTGGAGCTCTAAACACGGTAGTAGAGGGAAGCTTGTTCCAAATGCAAACCACAAGATAAGTAAAGTTGATCCTAATTTCTAGTCTGTTACTTGGGCTTAATCTGAAACATCTCCAAATGGTCCGATATAGCTAGTTCAAGCAGTCCAGTAGAAGTGATGCCCATGAAGTCTTCAGGATCTAAGGACCTTAAAATTCACAAAGATCGTTTAGCCTCCACTATCAACAGTCCTACAGAAGTAAACAACAGAGTTGATCGGATTAAAAAGGACGTCAAATCCATCAATGAAAAGCTCTCGGCAATGAACGACTTCTGTAACATGCTGCGTCCCTTCTCCTACTTGTGTAGTACGCCTGATAAAGCTAACCTAGAGCACTTGCACTTCACCTCTGCAGTTGCATCAGAAGCTTGTGAACGTATACGCTGTCGAAAAAATGTAGTCGCGTTCAAAGTACCTGATAAAGTTAAAATCTAAACCGTAGAAAAGGTTTACTTAAAGCCAGCAACTTACGGTCTATACGTTGTACATCCGTTCGAGTAAAGAAGAGCTCGTTGAAGCATTGCTGACTAGGTGTTCATGCTCTCTGGCGAAGCAAATGTCGAAAAGATCATTCGCTCTCAAAGTCTTATAGCCGCAAGACCCAGTTTCGAAAGGATAATCCTTAAACACGATGCGACACCACTCCAGAGAGAAGTGATTCGAAGTAGACGATCTCTGGTAGGCCTGAAAGAACATACTTCTGTAAATATGTACAGCGACGTAAGCCTAAATGCCGAAGTGGACCATGACAATAGCCACTCCAATGTACCACCCAACGTGGGTGTTGCACCTATTAGATCGGCACCATCTAGTACGTCCAAAACAGCTACCCAAGGAATAAACAGTATGTTTAACAATTACCCAGTTCAGCCTTTGGATGAGATTTCTCATAATAGTCTTCAAAATCATATAAACGTTGTCCCCATCAACAGTGAAAGTTCAGGATATTCGAAGTTTGCCTAGTCACTGGGTGGATAGTATACAGACAATGAGCCTGTGGATAACATACCTATAAAAGCCAAAATTACCGTCGAGCATAAATTAGTGTAAAATAGGCCACAAGCGCCACAATGCAACACGCCGGTTGCTTATCAGATAGGTAGCAAAACTAACGGCCAACCAAGCGGCAAGCCCTACATGTTCGAGGCTGTGGCACAGATTGCTGGGTCAGAACCAAAATCTCAAGGGATTCATGTAAAAAATGGCTATAGTCAGAGTTATCAATAACTTTCCAAAGACGCAAGACGCAAAAAAGGCATCTTTACCTTAAACATCTACAAATGGATCCACCGCTTCTCTCAAAACCAAGGCTATCCTAATTCGTAAAGCGGTTCGTGATCCCCCAACTCACTGTGCGCCCATCCCTTTTACTCTCCTTCCGGTCTCCATGATGGCAACTACTGGAGTAAGAATGCACCCTCTCAAGGAATCTTTCACAACACGTACGACATTTTGAGCACTTCAGAAGCTCAGCTGGGTGGTAATTATGGGCTTAAGTCCGAACGGACTGACAACGGTGAGCATCTACTGCAACTGTGTGCAGAGCACCAGTTGTTTCTTACTAACATTGCTTTTAGACACAGTGCGCGCGGAAGTGCCACTTGGCGTCCTCCTGTAGCTGGCCAGCGATGCACCCAAATTGACCACATAGCCATAAGTTACAGGTGGCGTGGTTCTATCCTGGATTGTCGCTCGTACTGGAGTACCTGTGTCGACCCTGATCATGCCTTGCTACGCTGTCGTTTCTCCATGAACTTTACAGGGAGGTGCACCAAGCATCTCCGATTGGCAACTGAGAAATTGTCAGCTCTCGGTCAGGCAAGCCTATCAAGACGCAATGCGTACCGAACTTTCGCTGTCTTGTTCTAATGACACTGAGCTTCAGTGGAATAGTATCTCGGCCGCAATGCACGACGCAGCAGCATCTGCTTGTGGCACAACCAAGCGTCACCGCATCAGTCACAGGATATCCGAGAGGTCGGTAAACCTGTTGTAGTCTAGAAGGAACCTCCCAGCTGGCTCTGAACACAATGTGATCAAAAGAACTATTAGGCATGAACTAAAGCGGAGCCTACGTGCTGACAAGGAAGCCTGGTGGACCACACGGGCTTGTGAGGTCGCATTGCACATGCACTTTTGATTCCGTTACACTATCTTCGGAACGGAAGATTTCATCACCACGTGCACGTGTACTTAAATCCGAGGTCAACCTAATAAAACCTAGTTTTATCGAAATTGCCTTGGACACCACATCCTCACATCGTGTAATTGAGTCGCGTGACCTACATCACGACCGAGGTCAACATAACATAACTGTTTCATTCTTATCGAGATTGTCTCGGATA